TCGAACACTAAACTCAAAACACATTCATAGTCCATACATAGCACATTCATAAGCAGTACATACTGTAAGCAAGTCAACTCAGGTCAAAATAAGTCCTCCTGGTTTTTGTTTGATAACAGAGTAGATATACTGTTCAATCATATTTTTCAGAACATTCAATTGCGTTCCATCAAATTTTTACATTCTAAGAAAATCCTTATTTACTTCCTCTTCAAGGAATACAGAATGGTGCATGTAATGTGAATATGACAGACACATATGAGTTGGGTTAACTGGTATGTAGAGAGTTGTAAATCACTGTACTGTGATTCTCTGTCTCAAGGGGTTTAATTAGTCCAGAAACTCTTCTCCTATCTGATGACCGACCCCCCCCCCCCCCCCCCCCCCCCCCTTCCCCCTCTCCTCCCTGCAGCAACCTACCACCACATAAATGCCCTGAAATCTGAAGACCAGTGGCCTCAGGAGACTGAGTTGCTACAAAGAGCTGAAAGAGTTGGAAATTGTCATTTCATAGCACTAGAATGGCTCTCTGGAGACTTGGGTAATGTCGTCCTAATTGACTGTTGTATTATCTTTGGCAAACATTACAGTCCCAGACAGACTAGGTTATAGCTAGGTACTAGAATGTGATACTGTATAATTTACTGTATAATCAAAATTATTATGTTTTAACTTGATAAACACATTCATTGAACAATATCTAGTGATGGACATTGCTTAAAACATGTATAGAGTACCACAGTATGAGTCATTAATACCCATAAAACCTAGCGGTCAATCGTTTTTCCACCGTTCGTTTTTCCCATAGGGTATTTTAGAAACATTTCAAATAAGGTCTGTGTTTCGTGTAGGCTTACCCTGGTGAGGCGTTTTGATAACCCAGTAAATCTCTCCAGGACAAGGTGACTTTTATCAATATATTCACCTGTATTTACCCCCCCAAAATGAAATGCTAATTAGCTGCTAATGTGGCTATCATTAAGAACTACAAATGCCATGATGATCTTGACGAGACTGTCGATTCGAAGCAAAGGTAAGATTCTCTGGATTAACTATCTAATGTTAGCTATATTTGGTAATGAATCAATTGGCTACATTTATTTAAATTGACAATTATGCGAACTGTCTTGTGAAAGTTTTAAATTGACACCATAATTGTTAGCAAAGAGATGACATGCAGGAGCTTGCAGGGATTTGAAGTCTTGCATGATGTCTACTTTGATGCTAATTAGCATTTTCGAATCTGAGAGTAAATAGTGCAGAATATATTAATAAAAGTCACCTTGTCCGAGAGAGATTTACATGGCTATCAAAACGTCATGCCAGGGTAAGCCTACACGAAACACCACCCTTATTTTAAGTGTTTCTAAAATTCCCTATGGGAAAAATTGAATGGTGGAAAAATGATTGGAACCATTTCCTTGTTTGACCGCTAGGTTTTATGGGTATTATGACACCTCCACTGTGGGGTAATAGCCAAACCACTAGATGAGTACACAGGATGCTCAAATGGTCTTTGGTGTTCAGGGAGGTGTGTAGGAGTTTCCTTGGGGGCAACTACGGTGGAAAGTCCAAACCAGGTTTCCACTATGCACATTCCTGCCGAGTATGCCGATTTGGCTATCGCCTTCAAAATGGTCATTTTACAAGACTGGTAGTAACTGTGTGATCTATAAACCACACTGGGTTGAGAGGTGGTGCTGTCCTGTTGTCAAACATTCAACCATCAAAAGGCATCAAGAAAGATTATATATTTTATCAATGTTATAACCCACTGTTTGTGTGGCCTGCTATTATCTGATGGTGTTGCTCTATTTCATAGTACATGAACAAGCTCATTTATCCTTATCTGTCATTTTATAACTTGTGAGGAGGTATCTGTCAGTTCTGGTCCCAGGGGACCCTTGGATGTGCACGTTTTTGCTCCAATTGTGCTCTTTATTTAATTGACAGTTCAGTCCAACCTAATAAGTGCTTTAACAGATTTAAAATTGATTTGCTTGAATGTTTTGTTTTCACGGTTTGCTTTGTGGGAAATACATGTTTCATTGACTTGCTTTGTTATTTAGCCCCTCAATATGACAATTGTGATGATCCATAAACCTAAATGCAGCATATAGTCAATTAAGAATGACAGTTGAATTGTATGTAATGAAATAGTATAGGTAATTGTATGTGATAAGATATGGTACCACGTGTATTGAGTGACACTAAAACCACATAGCTGTAGCACCAAACAGTTGGACCAAACAGTTCTGGACATAAGATGTTACCTCCCAAGATACTGTGTAAAGTGTTATAACAATACATTCATAACAGCATTATGTATGGCTTTCTAACATATTTATATGTAACATGTTGATAACATTGGTAGACATGGTCTGACTCATGGAACCACCTGAATATGAGTTACAAGAGACCAAATACCAGATATGTAGTGTCTTTATTAGAGTTGACAGTGCATCTGTAAGCCTACTATAAGGTGAAATTATTTAGAAATGCTGTCAAAATGGGTTGTGAGGCCTATTTTGTATGGGCTCATTTGTAAGGACAGGCCACCAGAGGTCTCTTCACAGTCCCCAAGTCCAGAACAGACTATGGGAGGCACACAGTACTACATAGAGCCATGACTACATGGAACTCAAGTAACTCATGCAAACAGTCAAATCTGATTTTAAAATAGATAAAAATACACCTTATGGGACAGCAGGGACTGTGAAGAGACACACACAGGCACAGACACACACATATACACACACACAATAACATACGCACTATACACACACGTACACATCGATTTTGTGTTGCAGATATGTGGTAGTAGAGTAGTGACCTGAGGGCACACACTTAATGTGTTGTGAAATCTGTTGTGAAATGTAATGCAATGTTTTTAATTATATATAACTGCCTTAATTTTGCTGGACCCCAGGAAGAGTAGCTGCTGCCAATGGGGATCCATAATAAATACAAATACACTCATTCCTTTCTATTGTGTAGCCCTATAGTAGGCCTATGTCCATGCCACAATAACGATTATATCAAGTTACAAGTATCTAATGGATAGTTCACTTCTGCTTTTAGATGATAAAATAGCTATATAATAGATGTTTATATGTATAGCATCTTAACTTGATACAATGTGGCTGGTTATTGGGATGAGGATGAGGATGACCTTATGTTTCCAGAACATCATTTTGTCAAACATATACAAATATGTTTATAATTAAAATGTTAAAACTAGTATATGTAATATCATACTCTATGTCCAAATGTGATGCATATAAGCCACTAAAGTTGGTGTAGAGTACCTTCATTTAAAGGACAAGCAGGAGCAGAATGAGATGAGGGGTTATTTTGCCGATGGAGATTAAGGCAGGGGCTTTTTGTCATTTGTGCGAGACAAGCCATTCATTCATCCATCCAGTTCACAGCCAAAAAAAAGGCTGGTCCCAGAAATTAGCAGTTTCAGCTCAGCAGCAAAGTCGTCGGGCTGTGAAGGCAGAGAGAAATTGACTAATTAGCAATGCGCACTAAAACTTGACGGTTCCCTCTATAACAGCGAGGGGAAGACTCGGCTTTTCTCCCCCTTTCTCTTTTCTTTCTTCCATAGATGTTTGAAATCGCAGTCATTTACGCTCGACAGTTTTTACAATAGCCTTGAGCCATAATTTTGCGAGTCTCTCCAGCATCCATACCCCTGCATGGTCTCTCTCCACTGGCCATGCACGACCGTTTCTCTCCCCAACCGTGGATTTCCTATTACTCTCGTTACGACTCACTGAGCCCCAGGCCCAAGGATAATGATGTGTTGTTTCTTGGTAGCATAATTTGTCACACGTATATTTCTTCTTCTTCTTCTCTTGCAGAAAGCACAGCTCCCTCTCACACACTCACACACTTCTTGTTAATTCAGAAGAACAAATGATCAACGCCAACAAATAACCTGAAATAGTGACTTTATGAGTGGGAATCAATAATTATTTTGTTGCACCGACCATATACTTTTAAAGGAAAGGAATATATCTAAAGAAAAAGGAGAACAAAGAAAAGTCAAGTGAGATTATTGGGAACCTGAAGCTTTTTACAAGCTCGTAATCAGGTAAGTTTGGCTTGATCTGAGGCAAACTGCTCACATCATTTAGTTGTGACAGGCGCTTTAGAGAATGTGGCGACTACGAAACAAGGTAGTACAGGACGCTTATATCAAGTTTACAAACATATTGAATGTATTAAATGCATTTTTAGCGTTGTTTAACTACATACACTCCTGCATGTTTCATTTATATTGTTGGATAGCTGCATTGAATGAATAATTTCCGATACTCACGTCTGAATAGTCGTAACTCAGGTAAAAGGGAAAAAAGCTCCCGCACAGAGCACAGTGATGATGTCGGCTGTGTGAGGGCAAACTAATTGCTTTTGTATCACTCCGTGCGTGCATTTGTGGATGTGTAAATTTGATCATTGTGAGAGTGCAGCAAGATAAGAGGAGAACGATAAGTGTTAGCTGAATGCTGCATATTATCTTTGCATAGGGGTTGCATTTTCCCCTTATCCAACAACTTAAATTGCGTTATCGAAGAGAAGGCGCTGCAGCATCTCCTCTCATAGTTTGTTTTGACAATGCGCTTCAAACCGCAGCGTCAACTGAAATGATCTAGTCGTGAAATAATGAAAATAGCAATTGAATGGCACATTCTTGGGACAATACGTTTTTGTTTTCTCTTGTCTTCCGACCCGAGCCAAAGTTGAAATGATAGCCAACCGGACCGAACTATATTGTTCACTGCAGAATAGTATCCGCGGGAGCAGCATGATGGTTTACCGGTTCAAACGGATACATATTCATTTAACTAACCATTATGATCGGTATAACGTGAAGGTATTAGAGACAATTCCCTCCTGACTATAATGATGATATCATGTTATGTTATTCACAGATAATGGGCTAGATGTAGGCTAAATGGCTTGCATGGTGTATTTGTTGCCTAGGTAAAGTCATGTCCAGATCGGGTGATAGAACATCCACCTTTGACCCCACACACAGTGACACCCTGCTGCACGGGCTCAACCTGCTATGGAGGAAACAGCTTTTCTGTGATGTGACTCTCACTGCCCAAGGACAGCAGTTCTACTGCCACAAAGCGGTGCTGGCGTCCTGCTCTCAGTATTTCAGGTGTCTCTTTTCCAGCAGTCATATGCTCAACAACGAGGGGACCAACAACAACAAGGACCAGGGGAGCAGTGGTACACCATCTTCCTCCCCCGATGACAAGCTGATGGCCAGCACCCGGTCCATCAACAACCTGGTCCTCCAGGGCTGCTCCTCCATCGGACTACGGCTAGTGCTTGAGTACTTGTACACTGCCAACGTCACTCTCTCCCTGGACACTGTGGAAGAGGTGCTGTCGGTCAGCAAGATCCTTAATGTCCCCCAGATCACCAAGCTCAGCGTGCAGTTCCTCAACGACCAGATCTCCGTGCAGAACTACAAGCAGATCTGCAAGATCGCGGCGCTGCATGGCTTGGACGAGACCAAGAAGCTGGCCAACAAGTACCTGGTGGAGGATGTGCTGCTGCTGAACTTTGAGGAGATGTGCGCCATGCTGGACGCTCTGCCGCCCCCGGTGGAGTCGGAGCTGGCCCTCTTCCAGATGTCGGTGCTGTGGCTAGAGCATGACCGGGAGACTCGCATGCACTACGCCCCGGACCTGATGAAGAGGCTGCGCTTCGCCCTCATCCCGGCCCCGGAGCTGGTGGAGAGGGTGCAGTCGGTTGACTTCATGAGGAGTGACCCAGTGTGCCAGAAGCTGCTGATGGATGCCATGAACTACCACCTGATGCCCTTCAGACAGCACTGCAGGCAGACCACAGCCAGCAAGTGAGGATGTACACACACACATGCATGCACGAACATATGTATTCACACACACACACACACACACACACACACACACACAGAGGTTAGTAAAGGTACTACTTTGTACACTTGGATAAGGTTAGGGTTAGTGAGGATGCTTTAGAATGGTCTACTCTAACTTATTTTCTATACCATCTCACACTAGAACTTTGTTAACTCTCTGTAAAGTTTTTTAAGTGGTGAAAAGATAGACATAACTTAAATCAATAGGAAGATAATTGAACAGTACATTCAGGCATTTCTTCTGAAATACGAGTTATCACATTATTCCCAAAAATATTTAGGTCAATTATAATTAAACATAGGCACACTTGTAAAACATATTACATAAGAGCACATGAAAACTTCTATTGACATAATCTGGGTAGATATGACCTATAACCTATATATACATAACCTATATATTTTTGAATAGCTTGACAAGAGCAAGAAAATAACTCATGGATTACAGAGTTATAGGTCTGGGTGATCCATACCGAGAATGGCTGCTTTGTCTGCCTTACCTACAGTACACAACCATGGCTTGTCATGGTGTGTTCATCATGATCAGCATTTTCAGAGACAGTTAATGGACAGGAGTTGACAGGAAGATGATTGATTGGTTGTGCTTGAAGCTGCTGATGTTTACAGCAAACACCTTCGTTAAAAACCTCCTCAGAAACATTTTTCAGTTTGTATCATGAGTCTCTGAAATATTATGGAGCAATTTTGACTTTTACATTTTTTGAACATTATCTTCTTCATTCAGAAACAGTAGGCTTTATGATTGGAAAACTAATCTCACAGTATTGTAGAAAATATAAATAAACAATTATCTTGCTCTTGTGGTGTATAATGTATTTACCAGGGTAATTTATGGCATGGTTAATTTCACTATTTATTTCTCACAATATCTTTATGGAGCACACTACTGTTTCCCTATCTAGTGGAAATCCAATAAAAAGTTATAAGCAATGGAGAGGACCTGCATGTACTGTAGCATGTTGCCATGCCTAGTAGAGTCTCCTTAGTGAGATGTCCATAAATGGGTCCAAATGCAGCACGGATCTAGGATCTAAACTTCTCATATTAATATCACATGCCACTGTTTCTCTCCCCTCAATTAATCAGCATTATCTATATCCAGTGGTCATTTGCATATGAGAATAAGCCCAAAAACACGAGTGAGCCAGTATCCAAATGTATGCACTGAGACGGTGGTCATTTAGTCATAAAAAATAACAATACAAATGTCTGGAATTAATGGCCAATGTTGTTAAAACGACTGTTACTTTGTGGGTGGTTGTTTAATTGCATTGAACTTCATTCGAAACAAGATGACTGGACTCAATGTACAGTAAAGTATGTGGCTCGGCTATTTCACAAACAAACCCCCAGAACTCAAGAATATGTTGCACAATTGGTTCAGAACTGCCACATGGAGAGTCTTGACCAGTGGAATAGCAATATTGATCTACTCTACTGTACATTGCCCAGTCATATTTGCGTCACTGTATGTCACCCTGTAGAAATGTTCTGATGACTTCACACCTAATTTAACAGATATATTTAGGGTGTAAACCCCCTTTGGACAGAAAGCATATGAAAAACAAGTGGGTAAATTTTTTCACATCAATTCAGAGAACAAACAGTTATGAAATTACAAAGCCCAGTTACTCTGTTATTACCATGTTATTAAATATATATAATGTTCAAGTTAATACACAATGTTGTTAAGCTGTTACTACTATGATCTACATAGCTCATATAGTGTTGGCCAATAAGGAAGTTTCTACATGATGGGGAAGATAATTTTCTTATCTTTCATATAGGATATGCTACAATTCAATGACTTCCAACACAATGAAGTTGTAGTGATTAGTTGCAGTTGGCTTAATACTATAATGAAAAAGCTTCTATTTTTGTTTGATGTTGGTGGATGTTTTATTTAATCTATATCAGTTATGTAATCTTTGTGTTTCCTATCTCTTGTCCCCACACCTCAACCCCCCTCCACCCCAACCCCATCCAAACCTCAACCCCCCTCCACCCCAACCCCATCCAAACCTCAACCCCCCTCCCCCCAACCCCATCCAAACCTCAACCCCTCCACACCCACTTTCCTCCAGGATTCGTTCCAATAAGAGGATGCTGTTGCTGGTGGGTGGCTTGCCCCCTGGACCCGATCGACTCCCCAGTAATCTGGTCCAGTACTATGACAACGAGAAGAAGACATGGAAGATCCTCACCAGTGAGTAGTAGCCCTGTCTTTTACCTGAAGCTTCTTCTGTTATAAGCATAAAAAGAATCAACGTTTTATCAACATCATATTTTATATTTTTTCAACATGCTGACGTTGAACATCAATTGATTTTTTGGTTGAATTCACAAAAAGTCATACACAGTTTATGTCTAATTTTAACCAGTTTTCAACCACGAATCAACAACAGGATTTCAAGGTTTGTTTCAAGTTTAATGTTACGAGGCTTTGCCTTTAGTACAGGTTAATTTTCAGATAAAATGAGGGAAGAGGGAAGAAGTTCCTCAAATTCCTAGAGGTAATGGTGTATCACTAGCACTTTTAGTGTACGTTTTTAATCAGAGCGTGACATTACAGGCTCACCACCATGGTGTGGATCTTCCCTTATTTTTGCTGAAATCTCCTGGCAAAGATGAATGGCCAGATTTATAGGGGTTGACACACGTTAGGGCAAGTCAAGTCTGACATTAGAAACTTTAGAAGTCTTTATAAACCTTGAATACACTACAAGTTTGCATGTCCTGCTGTGCAACAAAAGAGTGAACAAAGTAGCCATTTACACTCATACCCGTGTACAGATTGTAAATTGCAGATTTGGGCACTGATAAACGCCTAAATTGGAACGCAGTGGCTGTACAGTAACATGCTATACATGATGTTAGAGCTCTGGTTCTGTGCTTCACAGAGCTGTATGGGTTTTGACTGACAGCCATTCTAAACTTGAGTACCTTGCGCGACAAGAAGTTGCCCCCATTTCTCCCAGTAATTGGGCAACTTTTGCACATTTTCTGTTGTCTGAGTGAGGGAAATGCTGTAAATTAAGAGGACTCTATATATTTTGAAAGATGAGACGTTGAGGATTATAATAAATACCGCTTTGATGTCTGTAGCTCAGCTGGTAGAGCACGGCGCTTGTAACGCCAAGGTAGTGGGTTCGATCCCCGGGACCACCCATACACAAAAAAGTTTAAAAAATTATGCACGCATGACTGTAAGTCGCTTTGGATAAAAGCGTCTGCTAAATGGCATATTATTATTATTATTATTATTTATTATAAAAGCAAGCCAAACACCCATGAGTCCAAATGTGCACTTCACATTTCCAAATCATAAAACTCATGTCATATACAGTGTCAATGTTTATGATCACTATGTTTGATGTACAGTTACAAGATGACATGATGTCACTCCCTGGAATGTTTTGAACAGAATGAGCCTATTTTTGTTTATTGTGAAGAAAATAAGCTGCTGCACAAGCAACTGAATGCACTCATGACTCCTTTCTATGCACACCAAAATTACGATCTGTTTCTCTGAATTGCCTTGTGAAAGCCTAACACTGTAATATTCTATTTTATAACTTAGCTAGTCATATTGGCAATAGAACAGGCTTTCAAATGATGCCCACCTGACCCAGTTGCAATTTATAATGGACCGTTTTTGGATTGTGTAAACAACAACAGTAATTGTGGGATGGTGGGGATGCAGGGTTGTGTTCCAAACAAAACAACTACAAGTGTGCTTGCTCTAGTTCCTCAACAGCACAGCTAGGACAGCAAAAAAAAAAGTACCATATAGTTGAAGATTCTTCTTTGAGTCATAAAAGTGCATGACTTACTAACTGTGCACACTTTGGAGAGATGTGTGGCCACTTGGATACACCAGTTAGTCCTCTCACTCAAACCCTTGTCAATTTTGTGTCTTATGTTGCACCTACCCCACATTTTCCAGGAATAGTCTTATCATGTTACTGAATGTATCCAGAGTATTTTCACAGTTCGTTATGATCAAATGCGACGAAAAGTACAGTAAATGTAAAATGCACAGAAAATCAACAGTGTAAGGTTTGGATTCAGTCTTGTGCCAGGTTGTGTCCAAACCTTTGGTGTAATAATTTCCCCATAAACTGTTCCCTTTCAATTGCTACCATGATTATGAATGTTCATATTTCTTCTGTAAGAAACATTTCAATTTAGCCTTATCCATATAGGCCAATCCCACGAGTGTAAAGGGTTAAGATCCTACATCTGTAATACTTCTGAAAATACAAAGAACAAGCTTTCTATTACACTACTTGCCTCAACATATAGTGTTCTATGCTCTCTCTCCCACCTGTCTATGTTGACCTTTTGAGAGACACCACTATATTCTTGCCACATTCCATAGGTCAAACAAGTGCTAATGGAAAACCTTATCTGTCCTTTGCATCATCATCATCATCTGTGTTCATATTGAGTTGTTGTCCTCTGGCCTGGCAGTGTGCATCTCTCACTAATGTTGCTCCATTCATACATATTAACCACTGGTCTACCTACCTACTGTCATCTCCTAGACCTTGTACACTCTATTCTCGCAATACAATACAACTTTATTGTCCATTTGTCACAACTGCTCTCAATCAGTCCCCATTCAACACACTAACAACACTTGTCTCACACATGCCCATAGTTATTTCTGGTCCTGGTCTGATGTTGCCAGTGTTATTTACCATGATACCATTTCAACACATACCATCTGTAGCTAGACAGAATTGTAGCAGTGGTCCCAAATATTACGCACCTGTCTACTGTCTGTCAACACGCAATAAGCTACATTTCTGCTCTGTTATCATTAGTGTTACATTAATGGTATTTTAACATTTCCTCTTGATTTTGTCAGCCATGTTACCAAAACAGGCATGCATACACAACGACTTTCAGCCTCATTGATATTTCAGTATTGACATTTTTCTCATTAAAGCTCATTGGTATAAAGTGTAACAACCAAAAGGTCAATGGGGATTTCCATTATTCAAAACTAAAAGTTAACACTCAAATGGTCCGTGTCCGTGTGGAAGAACAAAACTGCAAAATCATTCCCTTAACGTAACACATCGATGGCCACCTGATGGAGCTGCTACACAATAGATGTGGAATAGAGAATGATTAACATTCAATCATAACTTTTCAATGAGGCGAAGCCTGAGAGGGATAGCGTTTGATTAAGACATTTATCAACACAATTTAGGGAGAGTCTGATCCCTCTTGTCGCGTCAGATCACTGCAGCTCGTCTGTTCTAGAAACTAGAGGAACTCTTGCTTGCCATCTAGTGTACCTATAGCACCGTGAAGAAGCAGGGAAGGGAAAGGAATGGAATGGAAGACAAAGACAGTGGCTCGGATAAAGTAGTGACTCTGTCCACTGCTGCCTGATTCTACAGTACCTGAGCCAACCTGGCATTAACACCTCATGGCTTCAAAAATGAATCTTGATCTAAGCACAGTACAGAACAAAAGAATGCAATGTGGTGGGATGCATCACTAATGATGTTAGATGGCTGTAGTAACGCAACGTTGATTAGTGCAGTTGCCGTGGAGTCATTCAGTCAACCCCAACCAATGCTGAGGTGTCTGACTCCCTCTAGTGAGCCTGAGAGCTTACTGTAAAGTCAAGGCAAGGCCAATTCGAAGGGATTGGGTTTCTGCCACATAGTGGTCTTACAGTTTAGGCTCCAGTGGTAAATATGGAACAATTGAAACGGATTTTGATATCAACATCTATGAACATCATGATCCCTGATTCAGAGATGGATCTTATTTATTTTCAGGCTGTAATGTGCAAGACTATCAGAATAGGAATAAAACAAATGAATTAGCCAACTTGAACATAAGTTATGGACAGTAAAACCACTGTTCTGAGTCTATTTACCCTCAGTACCGTCTAATTTACCCTCAGTGGAGTGCAATGTTTTTTTTACAGTTTCAGATGTTGTTTACTATGAGCAGAAATCACAACACAACAAAAATAACCACTCATTAACATTTCTTAGCATCTACTGAATGATAACATTAAGGCATGTAAGGAAGTCTGCCACCTACACCCTCTTGCCATTGTGGTGCACTGAAGTCAGGGAGTATAATCCCCTTCCCTCAAGATAAAGCTGTTAGTCCTCCTATCTATCTGAGGCTCTCCACCTTCAATGGAAGACCTCTGCAAGTCACACACCCTTATTGAAGATAAAGCTCTGTTAGTCAGTCACTATCTGTCTGAGCTAGACTCCCCTCTATGAGTGGAAGACCTCCACATGTCAGCCAGCCACAGCTATTGAGATTGCAGAGCTGAGGAGAGGAGAGGCCAATCGTAAAGAAATGAGATTCAAGGCTGTCTAATTTTACAGCAACTGCAATCCATCAGACTAGCGGGGAGGTGACAGTGGAAATGACGGATGGAGACAGACAGGTGGGCTTTACCATGCCACTGATTTACGCTCAAAAGCCCACGCACAGTACGGGCCTCTAGATTTATCGAGTGAACATGATTATGTTCATTATGACTGTCACCTAAGACCATTTCTCTCCATCTCAATGGGGGTCACTTTAGCAGGGGAAGATGGAGGGGAGAGAGGGATAGACTGGACCACCTAGACATACAGACAGTAAACAGGCAGGGAGACCACCACCAGGTGCTGTAGTCAGTGTGGTGTATTATATTGTAGTGTTGATTGGGAGCGTTTGGCCCTGTGAGCTTCATGCAGTGTGTTGTCGAATGTGAAATAACACCAAAAATGTCTGAATACTGGATTAAAAGGAATTGTTTTGAATCTTTTGGTTGATTTTGTGCTAGAATTGTACCTTTGTTTAGAGTGCAAGTTACTGCTCTTTTCACACACAGTATAGAGTTTTCACTGGATGTCATGTTGGCTTTAGCCAGTTGCTAACTCAAGTTCCACCTGTGACATGGTGAGGTAGAACCCAGGAGCAGAGACGAGAACCAGAGGAGGAACCAGTGGTTTAGGAAAAAATGTAAATACTTTACAGGAAAACGTTCAACAGAAGGTACAAAGTAAAACTGGGAAAACAACCATCACTAAGACTCGAACTCACTCAGGAGACAACGCACATGGCAAACAAATCAAGCTACTGCAAAGGGTGACAGAAAACACACCTCTCTAAAAGGAAATCATAATTTGTAACAACACCGTCATTATAGTCTCTAGGGCGGTCTCTGCCTCCCTCTGGTGACAGGTGGAACCATGACACCACCATTCTGTGTCCTGCCAGTTTCTGACATCCTCCACTGTTGTCTTGTGTCTCCCAGTAATGCCTTACAACAGTGCCCATCACTGTGTGGTGGAGGTGGAGAACTTCATTCTACTGCTGGGTGGAGAGGACCAGTGGAACCCCAATGGTAACATCACTACAGATACTACTACTAATACCAATACTATCCATGTATAGTATCTATATATTTTATTGCCACTCGACATTGTTTGAAAGGATAAGAGTGGCCATATTAACTGTTTATGGATCTTGATTCTGGCATGTATTTTGCAGGAAAGCACAGCACTAATCATGTCAGCCGTTATGATCCACGATTCAACAGTTGGATACAACTTCCGCCTATGCAGGAAAGGTAAGTCAATGCAAACAAGATTGACAAAATAATGCAATACAAATAGATGTGGGAATTATTGTACTGATTATTAACACTGAATTATTGCAGTGTCTGAATGTTATAACCATTCCATACAAATAGCTTAGCGGTTAGAGCGGTTAGGGCCAGTAACTGAAAGGTTGCTGGTTCTAATACCCAAGCCGACAAGGTGAAAAATCTCCAGGGGCGCCTTACTACTATGGTTGACACTGTAAAGCATCACATTTCACAGCAGCTATACAGTGTATGGGACAATAAAACATATTTTTTTACATACAGAGGTTATAACTGAGTTATAACTTTGTCCACCAAGGCTTCCACCATGCACACACACACACACACACATGCACACACTCACACACATACACACACACATGCACACACACACACATGCACACACACCCCCCTACACACACACTGTCCTGGATGTTTTAATGATGTTGTCTGGTTGATGCCTCCTCCTCAGGAGAGCCAGTTTCTTCGCCTGCTGCCTGGATAAACACCTGTATGTGATTGGTGGGAGGAACGAGTCGGGCTACCTCTCCAGCGTGGAGTCCTACAACCTGGAGACTAACGAGTGGAACTACGTATCCTCCCTGCCCCAGCCCCTAGCCGCACACGCTGGAGCAGTGCACAATGGGAAAATATATATCTCAGGTCAGACCTCACTCATTTTATTTAACCTTCATTTTACTATGTTGTCCCATTGAGGTCAAAATACCTATTTTACAAGGGAGACCTCACAGATCATCTCAATGGAAAATGAGTTCATGCTGAAAATGTAAAGCAAAAAAATTACTAACTCAGACACAGTAAAAATCTATTGATCTGGAGTATCGTGATTAGTGCAGGACTGCTAAATATCACCTATCAATGCATACACAGACTCGTTGATTTCCCTGCACACTCAGTCAGGCTGTTTCTCTTCAAAAGCAGAGTGATGGGTCTATTGATCCTGACCCTTCCATTCACAGCTAATAATAACGTCTTTATGTGTGTATCTGCTATACCACTATAGGTGGAGTCCATAATGGAGAATACGTATCCTGGCTGTATTGCTACGACCCCATCATGGATGTGTGGGCCAGGAAACAGGATATGAACACAAAGAGAGCCATTCATGCCTTGGCTGGGATGAATGACCGCCTCTACACTATCGGGGGCAACCATCTGAAAGGTAAGGACTGGCATGTCTCAGCTACTCTATTTTTTGCACATAGACAATTAATGAATGTGGAGTAGAAGATGGATCATCTGAATACTAGTATTTCCTCTTCAGGATGCTGTCCACCAATGCAAAATTGTATTCAATAGCTTGACCCATATAGCCATATGACCCCAATAGCTTGTCCTCAGCTGAGCATTATTCTAGGAATATTGCAGTGTGGAAAATCACAATGAGGGTTTCTCATCATGTTTCCTTTCTGCTGTGCTCAGGTTTCTCTCACCTGGACGTGATGCTGGTGGAGTGTTATGATCCCAAAGCGGACCAGTGGAACATCCTCCAGACACCAATCCTGGAGGGACGCAGTGGCCCCGGCTGTTGCATCCTGGACGACAGCATCTTCCTAGTGGGAGGATACAGCTGGAGCATGGTAAAGGCTAATTTCACTATCTTTATCCTACATTAACGCTATACCGTATGTATGATTGTGTGTGAGTATGAAGTTGCTTGTTTTAAAATCACAATAGCTTAGGGTATGTAGGCCTACAGTATGGGTTTAGGAATACCAACAACCTGTTGGCTAGATTAGTTTCAGTCCTGATAGAGACAACCGTAGGTGGGACACTGTGAAATACCTTTAAATGACCTTGAAAGAATTGCCCTCATAGACACATGTATGAATGAATATAATAACGATGTCTCAACTGCTGTATTGCAGGGAGCCTACAAGTCTTCCACCATCTGCTTCAGCCCAGAGAAGGGGACCTGGACAGAGCTGGAGGGAGAGGTGGCCGAGCCCTTAGCAGGCCCATCCTGCTCCACTGTCACATTGCCTGCCTGTCTGCCCTTCAATAAATAACACATCACTAGGTACGACAGAGTAGCAGGAGAAGGAGGTGAGGAAGAGAATGGGGGGATGAAGTGATGGTGGAAAGGACCATCGATAAACAAACAGTTGTTAACAAATTTTGTGATGAAGTACTCCAATCAGCCGATGGGATGTGTATAAATTATTTTTTTACAGGTTTGACAAAAGAGCACTTTCGTTATTATTGCCTACTGAAGGTTTGAAAAAGTAAGTTATCATGTATTTCCTGTGTTTAAAACCCCATCTGTGTTGAACTTCTTCCAGACAATGGACACATTTCATATCAGATTTTTTCTTTAATCGATAGTAAGTGTTTTTGGCTTATCTTGATATAGCTAGCACGCATAGTGTTGAACTGAATTGTTATAGCTTTCAAAAATCAATTTGTATCTTGTTATTAGTAGGAGACATCAATCAAAAACAGAATGCAGTGCTGTTAAAAATAATTGTCACTGGAAACTGTCTGTCGACCAAATCACACTGAAACTGAACTCTGGATAATACCCACTGGGCGCAGAGGTCAGTTCAACGTCTAGTTTTGATTGACATTTGGTTGAGTTGTCAACTAACGTGAATTCATTGTGAAATCAACAAAGAAATTCACCATGTCATTGGATTTAGGTTAAAAGTTGGGTGAAAAAAATAGGAAATGTTCTTACGTTGATAACTTTTTGCAAATCCAATTAGTTCTCTGCGTTGATTCAACGTCATCACATTGATTTTGGGGGTTGAAATGATGTGGAAACATCTTTGATTCAACCAGTTTGCCCAGTGGGTATGCTCATCTTTTTACAACCAAAATCATGATTCTGTGTACAGTATATTGTAAAGCAGAGACTTACTAACAGTTGATCTGCTTGTTAGATATCGTTGCCATACTGTACATTAGCAAATTAATCATTCTTCAAGCTGCAAGCGAGAACAATTTTTACATTCAAAATCGATTCTGATCTTTGTAAAAACGGCACTAAAAACTGATATGATTATTTAAGGATGGTACAATCAAATGATTATAATTCATTGCTAGCCATTGGTATACATTGGTAGCAATGTTAACTGGGTGATAAGTTGGGTTTTCTGTGGTTTTGTGTTCAATGTTACCTGTTAATGTTTAACAGAGCCTATTTCCAGAGATCACAATTCCCTCAAAAAGAGTAGATAAGGATAAAGAAGACAGTGGTCCTTAATGCACTAATAGTGAACTTTAAAAACAGCTGGGTATAAGAATGGTTCACAAAACTAAACGTTTGTTGAATTGTTGTTACCTTTAGTATACTAAGTTCAGAAACATGATGAAAAGTGAATTCAACTGTTATGTATGCATTCTACTCTTTTGTCTAAGTAAGTGTGCAAGGTTCACACTGAATATTGGTACCTGTTGAAATACATATAGATAGGGTATGTTGATTTTCGTTCTTGTAAATAATCGCTTGCAGTGGAAACATTTTTGTGCACTCAACCTGGGATTTATTCTCAAATCCTGTTATGTCCTTTGCATTTTAGAATATGAAAATAAAAAGGAAACTTGACGATTACAACAGTCTCTGAAGCTTGTTGCAGGTACTGCAAATACATCCAGTCAACAAACCATCACTTTACATAGAACTTCCAGTACACAAGGACATTTACAGATCGATTCAAATCAATAGAGAAGAAAGCCATTGAGACATTTCAATTCTCATTTCACTTCTCTCTTAGATATATACATCTACAGGGGTGAAATATGCTATGAAAGTGACATGGCATTTTTCAGGAAGTAGAATTGTAGTTTTTTTAGAATGGTCTTGAATGGGCAAAAACATAGCACAATGGTCTTCAGTGCAAAAACGTAATAAAAGGCATTTGGCCGAAGTAAATTCATCCACAAACACACATTTAATAATATACAGTGAGGGAAAAAAGTATTTGATCCCCTGCCTGATTTTGTATGTTTGCCCACTGACAAAGACATGATCAGTCTATAATGTTAATGGTAGGTTTATTTGAACAGTGAGAGACAGAATAACAACAAAAAAATCCAGAAAAATGCATGCCAAAAATGTAATAAATTGATTTGCATTTTAATGAGGGAAATAAGTATTTGACCCCTCGGCAAAACATGACTTAGTACTTGGTGGCAAAACCCTTGTTGGCAATCACAGAGGTCAGACGTTTCTTGTAGTTGGCCACCAGGTTTGCACACATCTCAGGAGGGATTTTGTCCCACTCCTCTTTGCAGATCTTCTCCAAGTCATTAAGGTTTCGAGGCTGATGTTTGGCAACTCGAACCTTCAGCTCCCTCCACAGATTTTCTATGGGATTATGGTCTGGAGACTGGCTAGGCCACTCCAGGACCTTAATGTGCTTCTTCTTGAGCCACTCCTTTGTTGCCTTGGCCGTGTGTTTTGGGTCATTGTCATGCTGGAATACCCATTGACGGTGGGGATGGTGTTCTTGGGGTCATAGGCAGCATTCCTCCTCCTCGATTTTGGTCTCATCTGACCACAACACTTTCACCCAGTTCTCCTCTGAATCATTCAGATGTTCATTGGCAAACTTCAGACGGGCCTGTATATGTGCTTTCTTGAGCAGGGGGACCTTGCGGGCGCTGCAGGATTTCAGTCCTTCACGGCATAGTGTGTTACCAATTGTTTTCTTGGTGACTATGGTCCCAGCTGCCTTGAGATCATTGACAAGATCCTCCCGTGTAGTTCTGGGCTGATTCCTCACCGTTCTCATGATCATTGCAACTCCACGAGGTGAGATCTTGCATGGAGCCCCAGGCCGAGGGAGATTGATAGTTATTTTGAGTTTCTTCCATTTGCGAATAATCGCACCAACTGTTGTCACCTTCTCACCAAGCTGCTTGGCGATGGTCTTGTAGCCCATTCCAGCCTTGTGTAGGTCTACAATCTTGTCCCTGACATCCTTGGAGAGCTCTCTGTTCTTGGCCATGGTGGAGAGTTTGGAATCTGATTGATTGATTGCTTCTGTGGACAGGTGTCTTTTATACAGGTAACAAACTGAGATTAGGAGCACTCCCTTTAAGAGTGTGCTGCTAATCTCAGCTCATTACCTGTATAAAAGACACCTGGGAGCCAGAAATCTTTCTGATTGAGAGGGGGTCAAATACTTATTTCCCTCATTAAATTGCAAATCAATTTATATCTGGATTTTATTTTTGTTATTCTGTCTCTCACTGTTCAAATAAACCTACCATTAAAATTATAGACTGATCATTTCTTTGTCAGTGGGCAAACGTACAAAATCAGCAGGGGATCAAATACTTTTTTCCCTCACTGTATCAAAAGTTCTTGACAACAGTAAGCAGCGACCACATAATTTTCAACTTATGTTTCAGGAATATTAATGAAACTTTCAACAACTAATCAGGAAAAAGTGCTGAATGAGTCCAAGAACGTGCTGTGGTTGATTTATTTAAGAGGTTGTTGGGTTATTGTTTGATACTGTTGGGTCCTGGTTGGCTTTCTTCTTGTGGATTTGGATGAGGACACCAATCAAGCAAGTACTCAAATATGTGGTCGGCCATCCTCATCTTGATGGCCAACTCCTCCTGCTGCCAATTCTGCATCTGGAGCTGTTTGCCAGGCAGCTCCTGATGCTGAAAGACACCGACAGGATACATTAGTTCCAGCGGTGTTCCATGAGCCAGACCCCCAGATTTGGGCCATCAGGCTCACTTGCGGTGACGATGTCTAATAGTGATTTGTTTGAAGGTCTATGTCCCTAGAGTTGTAAAATGTGTGATAGCAGTGCAGCAATAGCAGCATTCTGTGTGTTATCAGGCTTTCATTCATCCCTCCATTCCATTCATTTTCCCCATATGGATGTTACCCTATGACAAACAATGCAATTATACAACAAGTTATTGCTCACGTACACCCTTTAATCATATATCACTGGAAAGCTTGGATTCACAGATATCCTTCAGACAATCTTTGGAATGTTTAGGTCAACAGAACTTTGACCTTTGACTACTAGGGTACATATCAGTAGCCTAGTAGTCCCCTGTAGCTCAGTTGGTAGAGCATGGCGCTTGCAACGCCAGGGTTGTGGGTTCGTTTCCCCTGGGGGGCCAGTATGAAAAATGTATGCACATGTATGCACTCACTAACTGTAAGTCGCTCTGGATAAGAGCGTATGCTAAATGACTAAAATGTAAATATCAGAATGACCTGTATAAATTGCTTTAAAGAGTAATAGTCTAATACATTCTACACTTTGTTTGACAAGTGCTTCTGAAACATGTGTGTGTGCATGCATGTCAATTATGGACAATGACAAGTATGAATGTTGGCCATTCATGTCACCTGTGTTGCCTCACTACAGTATTTCATCACGATACGCTAGTACATACATACTGTGTTCAGTTTGTCATATTGAAGGACCTTTCTCACAAAGTATATATATATATATTTTTTTTTAATGTTCACACCACTTGAGAACTATCATCAATGCCACAATCCATCAATTATTTATTCCTATTTGTTCATGTAAATAATCATATAATATGATTCTGAACACTTCTACATGAATGTGGATGCTGCCATGATTACGGATAATCATGAATGAATCGTGAATAATGATGAGTGAGAAAGTTACAGAGGCATAAATATCATACCCCCAAAAAAATGCTAACCTCCCATGTTATTGGTAATGGTGAGAGGTTAGCATGTCTTGGGGGTATGATCTTTGTGCCTCTGTAACTTTCTCACACATAATTATTCACAGTTCATTCATGATTATCCATAATCATTGTAGCACCCACATTCATGTAGAAGTGTTCAGAAATATATTATATTCTTATTTACAATAACAGTAACTCCAAAATGACACAATACATTATTTACCATTCATTTATTTTGGGAACAACATAATCTGAAACACAACCAAAACAAACTGCAAATGCATCCAACAAGTTTGTAGAGCCACAAGCTTGATTTAGTCATTGCATTCTAGGAATATGGAACCAAATACTAAATGTTTGACTA